TTGTAAAGCATTTAAAGAAATCCAAACATCACCTAAACAAATTTTAGATTGACTATTTCCCTCGTCTTAATTTCCACCAATCACAAACGCGCAATTTTGAATTACAAATGGTTTCTAGGTGAAAAAACTGTGTGACAGCACCTGTCAGCAGTTTATTCGAGTTTACCCGCGGCAAAACTTGACAGCTGTTGTCACCAAAAATTGCAATTTATATTTTAATTGTTAACTGTTACTCATGAAATAGTCTTGTCAAATACCATTCGGGCATCAAATTTTTCCTGTGAAAAAAATCGAAAAAACACAATGCTAAGTAATATTTTTTACGATGTGGCTCCCGTCCCGAGGCGGGACTTAAGTTCAGTCCCGATTGACGTCACACACTGTAAATCGGTTTTTATTCCCCGAGATTTTATAATTTGTGTCAAGCTCGATGGCTTAGATGGTAGGGCGGTCGCTTGGCATGCGAGAGGGTACCGGGTTCGATCCCACTAGAAGTTGTCAAACTTTTTTTATTTTTTTTATTTTATAAATTTGTTGTTTCTTTGTTAAAAAGTGTTTTATTTTTATCGTAACATAAATTTGCCCATTTTAGTTGGGTTTTTTGCTCAATGGGGCGGGGGGGGGGCCCAATGGGGCGGGGTCGGTTGGGTTGTGTTGTTGAGTTTGGGTTGGTTTGGTTTTATGACGTAACTAAAGTGCCCTTAACATGTATACAGGTACAATTTATTATTATTATTTTATTATAACATAACAAATCTTAAAATTATGACGTCAATCGGGACTGAACTTAAGTCCCGCCTCGGGACGGGAGCCACAGCGTATTTTTTAACAAAAAGCATTCGTGCAGGTGCAAAAATCCTCCTCTTCGACTCGGATTTTTGTTGCCACCAGCACTCATGCTTTTTGTTAAAATATTACTTAGCAACGTGTTTTTTCGAATCTTTTCGTAAGTAATATCATAAGGGCATTTAATTTTTCCGAAAAGAATCGAAAAAACACGTTGCTAAGTAATATTTTAACAAAAAGCATGAGTGCTGGTGGCAACAAAAATCCGAGTCGAAGAGGAGGATTTTTGCACCTGCACGAATGCATTTTGTTAAAAAATATTACTTAGCATTGTGTTTTTTCCATTTTTTTCACAGGAAAAATTAGATGCCCGAATGGTATTTGACAAGACTATTTCATGAGTAACAGTTAACAATTAAAATATAAATTGCAATTGTTGGTGACAACAGCTGTCAAGTTTTGCCGCGGGTAAACTCGAATAAACTGCTGACAGGTGCTGTCACACAGTTTTTTCACCTAGAAACCATTTGTAATTCAAAATTGCGCGTTTGTGATTGGTGGAAATTAAGACGAGGGAAATAGTCGGAAAAATTAAATGCCCTTATGATATTACTTACGATTATTTCCCTCATTATAATATGAACCAATCAAAAGCCTTGAATTTTCGAATAAATTTCGTTTAAATAAGCGATCACTAGAACTATTTAACAGCGATTAAATTTTAGCCTCCATATAGGATTTTTGTTTACGATTTTATGGTGTTATTTACAAGTTTTAACAAACATTTTTTAAAAAACAATAAAAAATAAGTTATCTAGTTAACGAAATATCAATTATTACTTATTACATACCTTAAAGTAATGGAATTTTCTTTAAAAAATATTTATAAATTTTTACACATACGTCAGATTTTATGAATTGTCAAATAGTTTCCTTTAATTCGAGAAATAATCTAGACGTATATCACTCAACCTATAAATTTAATCTGTCAAACTATGCTCAGTAAGTTTTTTATTTGATTTTTCTTTTTGGAAAATAGTTTCATGCAAAATAATTAAAAATAAAACCCCTCGACCGCTACGCGGTCTCGTGATTTTATTAAATTATTTTGCATTCAACATTTTCCAAGAAAAACCAAACAAAAAACTACTGAGCCTAGTTTAACCGATTAAATTCATAGTTCTCGTGATATAATACATATATGAATAATTTTGACATAATATAATATTATTCAAGGTGTCATCGTAGATAGTTCTTGGATTTATTCAGGATTTAGGATTTTACTACGATGTTCAGAGTGCAGGATTAAATCATTTTGATACAATACTTGAAGAAATCCAAACATCACCTAATTAAATTTTATAAAAAGAAGAAAACCGGATCAATAAACTTTAACCTTTTTAAGGAATTCGCTCACCTCATAGGTATGTGAAGATAAAAATATAAAAATGGATGTGATTAGTATATTATGTTACTAGTTTTATAAACGTCATTTAATACACGGGTTTAATTATGCACGAGCGGAGCGAGTTTTTAATAAATGACTGATCTAACGAATTGCATATTATGATAAAACTTGTCAGATACCAGATAAAATGTTAAATAAAATCATGTATGATCAAAAATTTATGTTTTTTAAGAATTTAAAGTTAATTTTATTTAACATATTATATGGCATGTGTCAAGCAGTTTTACCTTAGTTTTTACCAACCTGACATCTGTAATATAATTTCATATTAACCTCACTTTTTCCCAACCTCACATTTGTCAAACGGTTTTAACCTTACTTTTTCTTAATTTAATGAACTAGTGTATTAAGTAACTTAATATACTAGTGTACTGTTAACTTTACTTTTTCCCAATATAAAACCCGATTAACCGCGGTTAATATATATTGGTTACCATTATTTACGAAAAAAAAACAAATAATGACAATAAGTAAAAAAAATAAATAATCCAATAGCAGTTGTAGCTAAATAAACTACTATTTTCTAAAAAAATACCGTAGGTAATGTATTATTTCACTTTATTTATTTGGCAGACATTTAAATTATACTTTTTTTTTAGGTTTTTGAAAAATAAATCGACAAAACTTTTAAGTAAAATAAATTGCATTTTGATAGTGTCACAGGCCAAGTCTTACTTTTTAGTTACTTACATGTGTCTTTTCCCTGCAGATTATTACTTGGTTTTGTCTAAAGTCGATAAATGCAAATCATAACTGTTTGTTTAGTTACAAAAGCAATGATCATAACCACCAATTCAAGTGTCGGCTTTAGCATAAGGCGTATTTATTCTTCGTGTCAAAAGTCGTGCGTTATTTTGCTAGCTTTGTCTCTATTTTTTGCTGGTCCAACGCAATTAGCTTTAGCTTGTGGCACCTTAGGTGTATAATTTTATTTTTTAAAGAACCATTACATACAATGACCATCATTAAATACTAAGGAAATGAATGTAAATTTATTTAAGTATATGTCTGTATTTGTTTTGTTTAAAAAAACGTTTGGGTTAGTTTTAAAAATAATGAGCAAAAGTATGCTTTATATATATATACAAGGTGATCCAACGAAAACTTATAACCCCGTTCTAACGGATTAATGTGGGCAAAATCCTTGTATCAGTAATTTTTATTTCTAATGGGACGAATTTTATTGTACGCTTCACGCCCCCACCCGAATCCCTAGGCGCTCTACCCCGCCCGCCCCCAAATCCTTGATTTATTTTTTTTTGCTTTTTTCTTAATTTACCTAATTTAAAAATTCAACCCTGGTAAACTTTTGCGTAGTCGCAGTAATAATTGCAAACAGTTGGTTTTACGCGAAAGGTCAAAAATGCAATAACGGTCGAGTCATATCACGGTGCTGGTGTCTCCAATGTGTTCTGTGTTTGAAGGATTACCATTGATTTATATTTTGTTATAGACGTTATTTTTTTACCGAAGGGTATTTCCATTGTAACGGGTGCGACACTAAAACTGCGTTTTTTCATGATAATAAAGTGTTTGTTCATATATATCAAGATACGTTAATATAAATAAATAGTATAAAAAAATATGTATTTAACTCAAACAAAATGTCAATAAAAACTTGTATAGAAAACCTTTTATAGCGTCATGAATATCGTAACGGGCGCGACCTTAGAAAATCGGCAAATGCGACCAAGTTGGCTTCTAAAGTTGATACTGTAAAATTTTGGATGAAAGCATATAGAAATAATTTTTTGTGTAAAACTTGAATAGTATACTAAGGTTATAACCTTAAACAAGCACGTATTTTAAATGCACAAATATAGTATACTTTATTTTCTAAAATTTTCTCAAAATGTAACGGGTGCGACATTTGAACATTTTATCGAGTATTGAAACTCTTCCGTGTTTATTCTTAATATTAGGTTCTTATCATCACAATGTACGACTATTTTAAGGTTATAAATTACGTCGCAATTAAACTATTTGACTTCCGATATAGTTGTTATTTTGTTAAATAACACATCTAATTTTTTTTTTTGTCAAGGTGGGGTAAGGTTTCGTGGAAATACCCCGAAGTAAAAGCGGATTTAGGTTTTTCTGTGCAGAAATAACAATATTTTTTAGGTTTTAATGTTAATTGTAATAATATGGCGGCATTCTGAAGACGTGAACAGTTTCTAACAGATGAGGAACTGCTACTGAGATCGAGGAATTGCAACAATTTGCTTACAGATGAAAAACAGAGTGAGGATGAAGATGGAGATAATTTTGATTACGACTCCAAAAACATCTTAGAAGTTGATAAGACACAAGAATACAACCAAATAGAGTATGGCGCACGATCAGAAACAGCAAACAGTAGAAGACACTTTTGATCCTACGAATAATAAACAAGTAGATGAAGGAAACGATTCAGCAGATGAGGAGTTTAACCCAGTTCAAACTAAGGATGGAAAAGGGAAGGGAAAAAAATTAGCTCGAAAGTGGAAAAAAACGAACAATTGATATACTTTGGATAAAAAACCTGTTAACAAATATTTTTATGACTGCGATACCCGTTAAATTTTTTAATTAATTATTTAAATCTTTGCTATATAGCTTTATTTTATAAACCAAATATAAATTAAATACTTGATAGTTATATGCTTTTGTTAAATTTGAATGGAACTGTAGTTTTATAAATCCATTAAATATATAAATAAAAACAAACAAAAATGATTAGCCTTACACATTATTTTGGTCTTACCTTTGGTCATAGACACAATCCTCACAAACTGATAAGGCTGAAGCCTTAAATCCTTGTGCACTGAATAAACAAAAACATTTGTACCATCAACCTGATACCACTCTGTATCATACCCTAGGGTAACATTATCTTTAAAGTACTTAAACTCGCACTCTATCTCCTCGCTATCCTTTTCAATCTGCTTCAGAAGAGAGTAAGCCACAATTTTTTTCACTGGGGTCCTATCAAACTGCCTCTGATTCTGTACCGAAATAGTCAAATTGACAAGGGTGAGGTAAACACTGCCAAGAGACACTAGTGCGAGTGCTATCGGCCAAGTCCTAAACCGCGACGGTGGAGTTGATACCATAACAGAGAACTCTTCGCGAATGGGTGCTTTCCGCTCGCCACTACCGTTGCGAATGAGCAAACGGGAACTCGATGCAAACGGCACGAGGTAAAGTGGCGCTTGCCTGTTTGCGTACTCGTGGTACTGCAGCGGCAGCGTTAGTCATCTGTTTCGTGATGGAAATACCATCATGGTACCATTTCTCCGTCGAGTTGAGTTGTAGGCGGTAGCGTTGGTAGTAGTGTTATGCGAATTTCTTCCCGAACCGCAGTACTGTTGCTCGGGCTACTTAAATTTGCATTTCATTATTTTAATGCCTGTGACGTTATTTAAACCGAATACAATACATAAACAATACACGGTCACACTTTTAGTAATAGGTACAAGAAACGCATTCTGAGGGCCGGTTTTTCAATTACGCATTAAACCTTGGTTCAGGGGAAATCAGTTAGGGCCGGTTTTTCAATCATAGTTTAAACTTGGTTCAGCATTTGAACCTGGATCAAACAAAATATGCTGTTTTTCATTCAAAGTTCAAGCTTGAATTTGGTTTAAACTAAATCAAAAGATGAACCGTCACTTATTGTGTATAACATTGTTTATTTCTTGTTTTGTGATCTGCTGTTATAATAAACCAATGGATATGTTTGAGGTAGTTAGTGAGGATGATGAGGAAATTCCTAACCTTTTTTACGTAGGATAGTGGATTTAATTAGACCAGTTATTGCAAATCCGACCAATAGGTTAGTTATAAAAATAATTACTAAATAGGTAATAGATTTTAGTAAAATTCATGTATGTAACAAAAAAACGACAAATTTATTTTATACTATAAAACGAAATACATACCAATAATTCCTCCTTAAAAGAGTTGGCAGCACGATTTTTATCCATAATGTAAGGTAGGTACACTATGTATTTTCGTAACCCGATTCTTTAAGTATACTAAAATACTTGTTTTGGCATATTCGTGATCGTCTAGTTAATTTACTTACTTTATAAAAATTAGGACTCTACGTTGTGTACTTACTTACATTGATAATAACAATATTTTGAAATTGGTCAGGTTTAATGAAACACAAGTATTTAATTTGAAACCCCTGATTTAATTTAAGCGAAGACAAAGGGGTGGCCCGTTGAGTCAAAGCACAGGGAAAAGGGACCATAAAAACCCTGGCGACTTACACAGTTCAAATAAAAAATAAAATACAAAACAAAACATAGGCATATGGGTCATAATCACAAGAATACAGTATAAATAATAAGTGAATAAAATAACATAAAAAGCAGATAAACATATTTCATATAATTTGGGTGTTTTTATCAATATTCAAAACATTTTGTACTCAGGTAAAATAGTTATAATAAAGATCGTCATTTTATGACGAAGGGTTTGTTTACCTTACCAAGCATCTTCGAACTATTGAACGAGGATACGATTTAATATAAATAAACTACAGTAACGACACATTTCAGATAGAGAGAATTCAAATGCTTTAAAGGGGAGAGGAAACATGGAAAAAAATTAATCTGGTGCAGATATTTAACCGTAGCCAATAACCACACTATGGGACAATTGCATACTCTGTGAAGTGATAAAATGAAACCTAATGTCCCTATCTCACTATAGTATCCCTATATCACAATATGTTCAAATATCCTCACAAAATCAATGTTCAGCACAAGACAACAGTATTATGAAAATATACAAACAATTCTGCACAAAGAGTTTATAAGTAGGTTAAATGCCCTATGCTCAAATATTCATGTATGAACACCCTCCAAACAAAATATAAAACAAATACAAAACAAATAAATATGCAATAAAATAAAATAATGTAAAATACAATACAATAAATAAATTGTGGTAAATATGAGAGTGTCATAGCAAAAACATAGAAGCATAGCCTAAAACTCCAACTAAAAGAAAGTGTCGTACCGAACAAAATAATATTTAAACCCAATACAGTACCGAAAAGGTCATTATCAAATATTCCAATTAAAGCGCTTAGATAAGCAGTTTAAATCCAAGTCTATAACCAGAATCTATCAAACAATCTAAACGGCACCAATACCTTACCAAAATATTACCTAATGGTAATATCAAATTTAATAATAATAATAATAGCAATAATAATAATAATAATAATTTATAAACCTTACCCAAGTAATACCAATATGATAATAATAATATAATTGTTAAAAGCTTTAGCCTGAGTACAAATGCAAAGATTTAAAATAAATAAATACCTTAATACCGAGATGATACACTGAGTTTCATGAACAATAAAATACATTTCAGTTAAATAAAGTCATACAAAGTTATACAAAAGGAAACAACAAAATCAAGGCCAGTGTAACTCAAAATAAAGAAAATACAAAATAGTAATATTTAAGGTAAATGTAATTCAGTGTATATGATGAACGCGACAACATAAAGATTGAAACTCAGTGTATGCCACGACATTACTTTTATTTAAATTTGGTTTCATGGCTAGTTGATATTTAGTTTTTAGGCAATAAATTTTAATTAGCTTATTTAATAAAAACTTTAGTCCCTAAAAAACACTGTGTAAAAAAACATAGTATGGTATAGTATATTATAGAATAGGAATAGTAAATGACTACTATTGACGAAATTAATGTTCCATACTTGCCATCAAAAAAAGCTTTTCGCCAGAAAATTAAACATCGGAGCCGCAATATTTAAAATTAATATATGCCGAAAATTAACGATGTGAAGAATTGTTTCTTATACAAGATTCTAAAATGGAAAATGACAGAATTCTTATTTTTACAACCAAAGAGAATATTCTGCGTCTATCTCAGGCAACTTTTTGGATAATGGATGGGATCTTCATATTTTTATCAATTATATTCCATACATGCTCCGTTGGACCAAACAGCGATGTAATAGTATCACCTGAATATTCGTTGATGACAGGAAAAAGTGAAGCAGTATACACCAAAGAAAATAATGTGCATTTAAGACCCGCTACAGTTTTGACTGATTTTAAAATGGCAGCGATATATGCTAAAGTCTAAAGTCTCTTTTTTCCATCTAGGCATGTGGACCTGGAAGAAGATACGGTAGTGACAAAGAATTTAGTTGATTGGTCCGCCACTTATTCGCATTGGCTTTCATGCCACCGGACGAAATCTCTAGCCATATATGCCACCGGAAGCAAACGATATAATTTTATGGTTCGAGGAAAATTGCATTCATACATCAGCAATCCTCCGTTGTTTCCACCTGATTTATGGTCCGTCTACAATTCCATGCAGCTTGGCATTCCACGGACACAAAATATTGTAAAAGCATGGCTGGATGTTAAAGTCTTATTCATGGTGAAGGCTATATAAAACAGAAGAAAAGAACAATTATTCGAGAAAACGATCAGAACCGTTATAAACAATCGAGATAATTTGTCTTTGTTAGAATACCTTAGAGGCATTGCTCATAGCCTTTCATTATAATAAAATATTTATTAACAAAAATGTATAATCTATATTATAATTATTAGGGTGCTTCAAAGAATAAAATGTAATTTTTTTTTTCGGTCTTACCCCCTCAAATGTTTCTATTTAATCAAATTTTCTGGTTTTTTTAATTTTATGGTAGCTGACGGGAGGTGAAAGGGGGCAAAACAAGGCAGCGGGGGGGTCAAAATGGGGTACCCAAAAAATGAGTATATGAAAAGTTTTCCAAAATTGTACCATCCTTTTTCTCGCTCTACAGGCTCAGAATAATTATTTTCGATTAAAAGCGTGAACTTGTGAGTCAATTTTCAAATAATTTAGAAACCGAAAAAAAAAATCTAAAAAAAAATTTTTTTACGAAATTTTTTGGGTACCCCATTGTTTTGCCCCCTTTCACCTCCCGTCTGCTAATTGTACCATAAAATTAAAAAAAAAGAAAATTTGATGTTAATCAAACTTTGACCTAGAATAACTAGAAGAAATTAATTTATCGAAAAATAATAAGTGACCTTTTTTGTAGAGCGTTACATTTTATATAAGAAACTGCAATGATCATTGCCATAAGTTACTTTGATACAGAGGTATAAAATTCCAAACATAAAATTATTTTTCCCATGTTAATTAAATGGGAAACTAAAATAAAAACAGCGACCTCTTAGAGTTGAGCTGGAACGCCCATATTTGGTAAGGATTTTTTTTTATATTAAATAGAAACATTTGAGAGGGTAAGAGCAAAAAAAAAATTAATTTTTTTTTCCGTACGCCTATTTTCTTCCCCGTATTAAAATCAAATATTTTTTAAATTTAACATAGATTATTTCCCTCATTATAATATGAACTAATCAAAAGCCTTGAATTTTCGAATAAATTTCGTTTAAATAAGCGATTAATCACTAGAACTATTTAACAGCGATTAAATTTTAGCCTCCATATTGAATTTTTGTTTACAATTTTATGGTGTTATTTACAAGTTTTAACAAACATTTTTTAAAAAACAATAAAAAATAAGTTATCTAGTTTACGAAATATCAATTATTACTTATTACATACCTTAAATTAATGGAATTTTCTTTAAAAAAATATTTATAAATTTTGACACATACGTCAGATTTTATGAATTGTCAAATAGTTTCCTTTAATTCGAGAAATAATCTAGACGTATGTCACTCAACCTATAAATTTAATCTGTCAAACTATGCTCAGTAAGTTTTTTATTTGATTTTTCTTTTTGGAAAATAGTTTCATGCAAAATAATTAAAAATAAAACCCCTCGACCGCTACGCGGTCTCGTGATTTTATTAAATTATTTTGCATTCAACATTTTCCAAGAAAAACCAAACAAAAAACTACTGAGCCTAGTTTAATCGATTAAATTCATAGTTCTCGTGATATAATATATGATTATTTCCCTCATTATAAAATGAACCAATCAAAAGCCTTGCATTTTCGAATAAATTTTGTTTAGATAAGCGATTAAATCACTAGAACTGTTTAACAGCGACTATTTCCCTCGTCTTAAATCACAAACGCGCAATTTTAAATTACAAATGGTTTCTAGGTGAAAAAACTGTGTGACAGCACCTGTCAGCAGTTTTTTCGGCAAAACTTGACAGCTGTTGTCACCAAAAATTGCAATTTATATTTTAATTGTTAACTGTTACTCATGAAATAGTCTTGTCAAATACCATTCGGGATCAAATTTTTCCTGTGAAAAAAATCGAAAAAACACAATGCTAAGTATTATTTTTTAACAAAATGCATTCGTGCAGGTGCAAAAATCCTCCTCTTCGACTCGGATTTTTGTTGCCACCAGCACTCATGCTTTTTGTTAAAATATTACTTAGCAACGTGTTTTTTCG